TTCTACTGTTGCATGTTTCCATTAGCAACATTGGGTCTACTGGAATAAGTAGTAGTTGCAAATCTCGTCTCTTTTCCTTTTCCAGCGTCAAGTTGCTTTATTCTGTATGTTTCGAGTTGTAGGTTTCGTTGGTTCTACAGCGGCTTGTTTCCAGTAACATCTGCTGAATTTCTGCATGTTTCGTTTGTTTCCTGACAACCTTCTGTAGTTCTTGCATTTTATTCCTATAGGTTCCTGTCTGTTTCCTAACAACCTTGGGTGGTTCTCTGCAAGTATTCAAATTCTTGCATTGTATCCATCTGTCGTGACCCTACTGTAATTCATCTATGACTCGGAGCCCCAACACTATCTCCTTTGGCTCTATCAAAATTATGACGGATTTCTCCAACACCAAATCACTTTCATAAGGTTTAATTGATTCCATCGGAGGATCGACTTGAAACTTCGCTCCCTTGCAAACTTTAGGATTAGAAACTAACATGAGTTTTTTTTTCACTACCCCCATAAACTGTACAACAATGTCCTTCTCCAATGGTTCCAAGCTGTGTCTTTGTTCATCAAAGGACGTGGGAAGTTTGGTTACATCACATGAATGATTCGTGAGCCTCTAAACACTGACCCGACATATGGAGTTTAGGAAGTGGAGAACTCCATGACCATGTCATGGCTGATCAACTCCATGGAGACTTCAATCGGTCGTCCATATATGTGCCTCCCTTTTGTTAGTGCTCTCTGGACGGCTGTTCGCGATACCTGATCGGATGTGGGAAATTTTGGCCAATTTTATGAGATATCTAAGAAAATCCGGGAAGCAAAATAAGGGTCAAGGACTGTGACTCAGTACTATTATGACATTCTTGTATTATAAATGGAATGAGACCTATACTACGACTATACCTGGGATTCGATTCTCCCGCTGACTTATCCCTCTCTAGAAGATTGTAGAAAAGGATTGTATGTTCTAATTTCTTACTAGCCTTAACAAGCACCTTGATAAGGTTCAGATGTGTATTCTTGGTCGGTATCCTCTTCCTTCCGCTCGTCTTGCTTTAACCAAGATTCGTCGGGAAGACTAATCTGCGGTGGCATCAACGTTGGCTTGTCATGCTCGATACTTTTACATCTTTAGCTGAGTCACTCGCTCTGATCTCAAATAGTGTTAAGCCAACGTTGATGCCACCGCGGACTAGTCACCTCAATTGTGATTACTGTCACAAGCTCAGCCACACTCGGGACAAGTGTTGGAAACTTTACGGTGAGCCGACATACAAACCTTCAGTCAAATCCTCTGATGCCAAGGGACTCTCGGCGACGACGAACAAGAAGGCTCAACCGACTCCTACCCTGAATATCCCAAAATCCTTTGAATCACTGAAAAATTAGATTGAGCAATTGATAAAGTTTCTTGGAGCAAATCAAGTTTCCTTTGGTCCATTGACCTTCCACGTTCGACAAGGTAATCTTCTTATAGCTCTCACCATTTATTCCTCTAGTTCGCGGATTGTTGATTCAGGAGTCACGGATCACATGATTGAATGTTCGTAAGTTTTCTCGACTTATTATCGTTGCTCTGAAAAAAATACGGTTAGAATTGCCGATTCTTGTAGTTCCATTGCTGGTAAAGGGTCGATTGCACTAACAATCGATCTAACTCTGTAGTCTGTTTTATATGTTTTCCAATTGCAATGTAACTTGTTATCTGTCAGCAAGTTGACGGATAATATCAATGGTGCTGCTAACATCTCTTCTGATGGTTGTGTTTTTCAGGATCGTCGTTCGGGGAGGATGATTGAAACTGCTAAGAGGGTAGCTGGACTCTACTACTTCCAAGAGAAAGCACGAAAAATACTGACATTCTTGTAGGATTTGTAGCTTATCTCGAGTCATTGAATGTCTCATTATGTTATTGCATTATCGCTTAGGTTATTCTAGTTACTAATATTTAAAAAAGTTACATCATTTGATGTTTTTTAATAAAAAATCTTTCTAATTTTAATTATGAGACGTGTCAGTTAGCCAAACATTATCGGGTCCATTATTCATCCCTTTCGCTTCTTTATCCTTCATTCACAGTGACCTATGAGGACCTTCTCGCACTCTCAACTACACCATTAAAAGGTAGTTCCTTACTTTCATTGATGACCAATCTCAGATGACGTGCGTCTTCATTTTAAAATTCAAATCAGAAATTGTTCACATTCCTAAACTTATGCACATTCTTTTTAACTCAATTCAAAACTCATATTCAGGTCCTTCGTACCAACAATGATCGTAAATTTTTTTAACTATTTTGGACGAATCCTTGATGAGTAAAAGCATCTACCATGGCTCATGTACGAACACTCTTCAATAAAATGAGGTTGCCAAGAGGGAAAATTGTCACCTCGACGTTACTAATTTCTTTATATTTCAATCCAATATCCTGAAACGTTTTTTGAATGACACAATTCTCACTGCCACTTATCTTATAAATAGTCCTCTATAAAATTCACAAGTTCTGAACCCCCTTAGTGTCCTAATGTCATGCTTCCCTACTAATAGGATTTTCACATTAAACCCCAAAATTTTTCGGTTCATTGCCTTTGTACGAAACCCTGCCCCCAATCGGAGTAAACTTGATCCCAGATCCATAAAATATTTTCTCTTAGGGTACTCCGCTACTCAAAAGGGGTATCAGTGCTTTGATCCTACTACTATCAAAATCTATGTGAGTGTCGATGTCTCAATTTTTGAAAGTATTCCCTATTTTCCTAGTTCGACCCCCAGTGAGGAGCTTGAGTTCTTAGACACTATTCCTTATCCTACTCCTATGGGTGTTCCCCCATTGTTCTCACTAGTGAAGAGTCTCCTGTCTCGGTAAGTGCACAATCCAGTGAGTTCTTGGATCCGGTGAGTCCACCATCTCCTCCCAATATCCGTGTTTATACTCGGCGCACCCATTTCCAATGCTCCTACTTTGGAACCCACTATCACCTTACTGAACTTGACTCCACTCCAAGAGACATACTCAGCACAACCCCTCCAAATGAGGAGGTGAGTTCTCCGAGTAAGGTATGTAATCAGACATTCTTCTTCTATTCTATGGCAAAATATGCCTCTTTCCGTAATTTATCACCGACCTGCAGAGCATTTGCCACTACCCTGACAGACCATCAGATCCCAGCTATACTTGAGGTTACTCTTGCTGATCCAGCCTGGAAAATGACAGTACTAGAGGAGATGGATATCCTTCAACTGAACCATACATGGGATATAATTGATCTGCCTTAAGCTAAGAAAGTTGTAGGTGCCGATGGATTTTCATCACCAGGTTCAACTTTAATGGATCCTTTGAACACAACAATGCACGGTTGGTTGCTAAAAGGTACTCACAGGCCTATGGAGTTGGTTATGAGGAGACATTTGCTCTAGTGACTAAGTTAAGCGCTATTCGGGTCTTGTTGTCCCTTGCAATGAATCTGAATTATCATTTATTCAAGTTAGATGTCAACAATGCGTTCTTGAATGAAGAGCTTACAGAAGAGGTATACATGTCTCTTCCTCCTGGCTTTGACTTTACTTCCTTCAAATGACAAGTGTGCAGGCTGCAAAAGTCTCTCTATGGGCTAAAGCAGTTCTCTAGAGCCTGTTCCAACAAGTTCACAAAGATGGTCGTGGGCCATGGTCTTACTCAGGCTCAATCGGATCACATTCTTTTTTCGACATTTCTCCAATGGCCAGGTAGCTATCCTTATTGTCTATGCTGACGATATTATTATTACAGGGAATGATCTCCCAACATTAGAGTTCTTGAAAGACATTTTTGCTAAATCCTTTGAAATGAAGGATTTGTGATTTCTTCGATACTTCTTAGGCATGGAAGTGACTCGATCATCTCAGTGCATTTGTCTATCTCAGCTCAAATATGTGATTGACCTCTTGAAAGAGAACAACCTTCTTCTTTGCAAATCGGTGACTGTCCCTGTGGTTCCCAATGAAAAATTATCTGACATTCTCAATGTTGTGTCTGTCAACCACACTCGCTTTCAGTGCTTTGTAGGTAACTCATCTACCTCTCTCATACTCGGTCGCACATATGTCACACAATTATTATAGTGAGTCGGTTCATGCTTGATCTCTATGTTTACTTTTCTCTCGCCACACTCCTTGGTCTATTGCTATTTATATTGATGTTGATTGGGTCGGGTCGATTCATGACCGGCGTTCCACCTCAGGGTATTGCTCGTTTGTATGGGAAAATCTGGTCACATAAAAAAATAATAAACAGGCGGTGGTTGTTCAGAGCAGTGGTGAAACTGAATTTTGGTTCATGGCCTTTAGGATTTGTGAAGCCCTCTGGTTACACATCATGCTCCGTGAACTTCCTATGCGAACATCCGTTTCGCTGTAGTTATTCTGTGATAATAAGACGGACATCAGCATTGCTTCTAATCCAATCCAACATGATCGTACCAAACATGTGGAGATTGACGGACACTTCATTAAGGAAAATATTGAGTTCTGTGAAATTTGTGCTTCTGTTGTACTCTCCAGTGGTCAACTAGCGAATATTCTTACCAAGAATTTTTCTCGACCTTTGTTCGATAACTTCAAGTCCAAGTTAAACATGATTGACATCTATGCTTGAACTTGAGGGAAAATATTAGATTTATAACGACAATTAAATCTCTGACCATTATTACTTATTATTTCATGTCTATTATCCCTCATTATGTATTTTTTTCTTTGTTTTATTCTATTTATTATTTTCCTATTTATTTTATTATGTTTTATTTCTTTCTTTTGTTATGCATATTGTAATTGGGTTTAATAAAATTGAATTGAGATGCTCTATTCCAAATCTCAACATAAATTAATATGATTACGTGGTTCTTTTTAATTTGTCCGTTATTTTTTCTATAAGGTTATGGGAAAATTTGATGCTTAATTTCAGTGATATTTTAATGCATTTATTTTGTTTCATTGATATTTTAATGCTTATGTCTTACACAAATTTTCAGCCTTGGAAAGCAAGAATTGAAAAAGCTCACAACCAGGAAAAACTAATTTTTCTTGACAACTTGGATCCATCTTATTCAGCAAGCGAGGTGGAGGTCTGCGTTCATACTCTTTTACTTGAACTTCAGAATCCTTTTTTTTATAATTGTAATTTTATTTTAGCCAATCTGAAGAATAGAAATAAAGTTGACGTAACTATTTTGTCTTTTGGATGATGTAGCTCAAATAAAAGTTGCACCAAATTCACCAGCCAACTGAAATGAATGGCATAGATGGGTTTATGGAAAGTTACGTCTTCCTTCGTTTGTAAAGAGAAAAAAAAAAGCGTAATTATAACTAATGGCAAATTTGTTAATATTGGTTTAGTTTTTTATGATGAAAATCACTTTAGGCAATGTTGGACATGCAGAATCTGCTCGTGAACTACAAACTTCAACCGGATTTTTCAAATAATAAACTTTATCAATGGTTAATCTTAGAAGAGTAGAATTTCAGAAATTAGTTTTTTTTTAAATTCTTTTGTATTTTTTATTTCTAAATCAGTAAGCATCATTGGACTTTGATAATTGAAAACGTTACTTGTTTTGCAGTTCAAATATGCTCCTATGCTGACATGCAACATTGTTTATTGTTCTCATTCACCATGACACGTGTTATGTTTTTTTTTTCCCCATAGTTTCACATTTCCTTGTTTATGAATGTGATAGGCTTCTTGGTTTCCATTTTTATCATTTATTTGCAAGCGCTGATTAGTTAGTTACATTGTTCTTTAGGGAGCCACATTTTCATTGATAGTTATTATTATTATTATTATTGAAACTGGTATGTTACGTTTAAAATCAAAAAATAAAAAGAGTACAAAACTATACATGTACATCAACATGATCTTTATCCCCTTAAGATGACAAAAAAGCAGATCAATGTAAAGCAATTTTACACAAAATTATGCTATATTGTTGCACTCCATAGGAATGAAGTGAAGAGCCTCGGTCCTCGGTCAAAACTGTGAAAGGAAGGCAAGGTCCGAGCCATTTTGGGGTCGGGTGCACTTTGTTTTGTCATCTATGTTTTGATGCATGGGTTGATGACATTTGTGCCATTCCTCTCAGTAATAATCTCATTCAGCTCAATCATCCATAGCACAAGACTATCATTGATAGAGAGTAACTACAAGTTCAACTTGAGTGCTTTCCTAGTGTTCAAAATGTTGAATGTCTATGACCAAATAGACCCTCCCATGTCCGTCGTAAGATAGGGGAGTAAATCATCATCTACATTCACCTTGATCTAACTAGGAGGGTGGGCACCAAAAAAAAATGTTGAGACTGTTTGGAGGACTGACTAGTGTCTTAGTGTTGAGCTTCTCAATGATGGTATCTGCCATGATGATGTGTATCTGTTAGGAACCACTGTAGTGATTAAGGCAAAACACTAATTTTATTTCACTAAAGCAAACAACACAACTAGAACACGTAAATGATAAACCTCTATAATTCGAGAGGTAGGTAATCTCTCCCAAACTTTAACCCTAATAATCAAGACAATAACCTTATCATCCCAATCATAAACATAAATCTATTTATACCAAGCAATAAGAATAATAAATTTCTAAATTGTTTTTTCAGCCTTACATCTAAAATAAGTCGTCAAATTGTTTAGCGGGTTCGGTGTGGCAAAAATCATCGTCGGTGTCAATCTGATATTACCCCCCTCCCAATAAGACACATTGACCTCGATGTGGAAAATAAAAAATTGTTGTTGTATCAAGTCGTACAACTCCCACGTGGCATCATAATTTGGTAACCCCTCCCATTTAATCAACACTTCTTTCCCTTGCTTCTTGGCGCACCCATTTTAGCTCCAGTGGCTCTAAAAGAACTTTTATATCCTTGTTCAAGGCAGGGAAAGTGAAGAAGATGACACATTATCACCAATAACACCCCTCAATTGCGATACATGGAACACTTGGTGAAGTGTTGACGAATGGGGCAATTTTAAACGGTAATCCACCTTAGCAATGCATCTCGTGATTTCATAAGGAATTAAATAGCTTGGGGAGAGCTTCTCATTCATGTCTGGCCAATGTTTTCTGTCGATAGACCCACAATTTTAGATACACCTTATCTCCTATCGCAAGCTGCAATTCCCTTTGATGCCCGCTGGCTTGTTTCTCATAAATTGTTGCGCTTTCAATGGATGTCTCTTCAATTCAGCCAATATCTTGTCCCTCTCTTCTAAGTACCGGTCCACCAAAGTATAGTAATATGTCCATAATGCACTAATGAGGTGAATCGCGATCATACAAGATTTGAGGAGTGGTCTAAGAAGTTATATGATACAATGTGCTGTACCAATACTCCCCCCAAGGTAGCCATTTAGCCCATCGCTTGGGTGCAATGGATACAAAGAAACACATACTTCTTCACACTTCGATTAACAACTTTTGATTGTCCATCTGTTTGCGGGTGATATGCTATAATTTTCTTCAATTTGGTTTCTTGGATTTTAAATAGCTCCCTCCAAAAGTGACTCGAGAAGATCTTGTCTTGATCCGGCAAGATTGATTTTGGAATTCCATGCACATGGACAACCTCTCGTATTAAGACAGCTGTGACAGAAACAATAGTGTAGGGATGACAGAGGTATGAAGTGCGCATATTTGCTCAACCTGTTTGCCACCACTAAGATGATTGTAAATCCTTCTGATTGAGGTAAGCCTTCGATGAAATTCATTGTCACCTCCTCCCATACCTTCTCTAGGAATGCTAGAGATTGTAGCAACCCCCAAGAGCTAATGCCATGTACTTGTGTCGTTGGCGCACATCACATCTGGAGACCATGTCCCCACATCCTTTCTCATTCCCACACAGTACAATTCTATTGCTATCCTACGATATGTCTTGAACATGAAGAAATGCTCATCGGTAGTGCTACCGTGAAACTCATGTAATAACATCAAAATTTTCTTTGAATTTAGGGGCAATACGTAGCATCCCTGATAGAGTAAACGTTGATCATTTAGTGAGTAATTAGGATAATCGTTCTCGTCATTCAATAAGGTCAATCATATATTGCCTAATTTCTCATCTACTTCACTTGCCTCAGGATCTCCCAATCTAAGACCGAAGTGACTAGCAATGGCAACAATTGAGGTTCCTCCATCCGACGTCATAGGGCATCAACGACCTTATTCTCAAATCCCAATCGATACTAAATCTCAAAGTCATACCCAGTAGCTTAGATAACCACATATGATGTTGCTTAATCACCATCCACTGTTCCAAAAGAAATTTGTGACTACGTTGATCCGTGTGTACTATCAAACGCCGCCTGAACAAATATGGTAACCATTTATGAATAGCCATCAAAATTGCCATAAGCTTCTGCTCATAAACTGACTTGAGTCAGGCATTTGCAGTCAATACTTGACTGAAGTAAATGATGGGTCGTTGACATTGCATGAGAACAAATGCTTAACCCATAGCCTAAAACATCTGCCTCTACAATGAAAAGTTGGCTGAAGTCCTGCAATGCAAACACTGGTACACTTGTCATAGGCTTCTTTAACTCCTCGAAAGCCTGGTCACTGCTTCTCGCCACATAAAATTATCCTTCTTTAATTTCTTTGTCAATGACTACGCAATAGAGTTGTTACCCTTCACGAACTTTCGATAAAATTTTGTAAATCCCAAAAATCCTCTCAACCGCTTTAAGGTCTTAGGTAGCGGCTAATCCATCATAGCCACCAACTTCAATTGTTTTGTCGAAGCCCCTGCAACCGACACCACATGTCCAAAGTACTCAACCTTGGTTAGGCAAACAAATACTTCTTCAAGTTGGCATAGAGTTGGTGTTCATCGAGTACCATCAACAGCTTAAAGTGATTAAGGTGATCTTCCAAGGAATGGTTGTACACTAAGATATCATCAAAAAACACAAACACAAATCTTTGGAAGAACTATTGAAACACCTTGTTCATCAATGATAGAAATGTAGTTGGGGTGCTGGTGAGCCTGAATGACATAACTAAAAATTCATAGTGACCCTCATTGGTTCGAAAAGCAAACTTGTGCACATCTGCTAGCCGCATCCGAATTTGATGGTATTCTAGTTTCAAGTCAATCTTGACAAATTCTCCATAATCTCATCAATCACCGGGATGGGAAATTCATTATGTACCATTTCCTTATTCACTGCTTGCTAATCCACACAAAAATACTAACTCCCATCCTTCTTCCTCACTAGCAAGTAAGATTGGCCTAGAGAAATGGCTCACACTAGGCTGTATGATTCGTGCCTCCAATGTTTCTAGATCAATCTCTTGTTCTCTTCCTTCTACATCGGGGGGTAGAGGTATGAGCACGTACTGACGGGAGTAACCTCTGATTCCAGGTTTATCGCATGCTCGTGTTCTCTCTGATGAGGCAATCCAGATGGCGACTGAAAACTTTTGCAAATTATTGTAAAACTTGTTGAACCTATGTCTGAATCTCTGACAACTTTGTATTATGCACCTCTTCCATGCTATGCAATCCAAAAAAAAATCCTAACCCCACATCCTGAATTGCTTTGAATATTGTCTTGACAGTCATTAATGTCTTGCATAGCCTCTGATTATCGAAAAGCACTACTCTCTTATCTCCTTTTGTAACTCCATTGTTAGGAGTTTTCAATTCATCTCGTCTCCCCTAAGGACTGCAACCATTTCATGCTAAATATTAAACAAGTGCTTCCTAAATCCAAGTGAAGAAAATCCTGTACCACCTGAATACTTTGCAATGTAAAAATCTGCCCTTTATAAATTCTTCTGCTTTTTTCCACCTATCTCGTCTCTATTATTACTCCAAAGCTCACTATGTCAACCATGTTTAAGGCCCAATTGCTTCACTACTTAAGTGGAGATGAATTTGTGGGGTGGCCCCAATATCTAACAACACTATTACATCTTTCATAGTGTGTTTTGGTGTCAACCCCACCGCTGAGTTCAAAGAGGCTTCTACCACATCCAAGTGATGGTGTTCCTCCTCTACATCCTCTGTTTTTTCCTCCACTGCCTCCTCGTCGCACACAACGAGAAGCTGTCATATCCCATTAT